GGACTGGAGGAATCCCAAGCCGGAATTAAGATTGCCGGAAGAAATATCAGCAACCTCAGACAGGCAGACGATACCACTCTGATGGCAGAAAGTGAGAAGGAATTAAAGAACCTCATAATGAGGGTGAAAGAGGAGAGCACAAAAAATAGCCTGAAGTTCAACATCAAAACTAAGATCATGGCCACTGGTCCCATCACCTCCTGGCAAATTGGGGGAGGGGGGGAGATATGGAGGCAGTGACAGATTTTACTTTCTTGGGCTCCATGATCACTGCAGATAGGGACAGCAGCCACAAAATTAAAAGATACCTGCTTCTTGGGAGGAAAGTGATGACAAACCTAGATAGCTTCTTAAAAAGCAGAGACATCACCTTGCCAACAAACGTCTGCATAGTCAAAGCTACTGTATGGTTTTTCCAGTAGCTATGTATGGAAGTGAGAGCTGGACCATAAAGAGGGCTGACCACTGAAGAATAGGTGCTTTTGAATTGTGGTGCTGGAGGAGACTCTTGAGAGTCCCCTGGACTGCAAGGAGATCAAATCTATCCATTCTGAAGGAAATCAACCCTGGGTGCTCACTGGAAGGACAGATCCTGAAGCTGAGGCTCCAATACTTTGGCCATCTCATGAGGAGAGAAAGACTCCCTGGAAAAGACCCTGATGTTAGGAAAGTGTGAAGGCAAGAGGAGAAGGGAACAACAGAGGATGAGATGGCTGGACAGTGTCATTGAAACTACCAACATGACTTTGACAAAACTCTGGGAGGCAGTGAAAGACAGGAATGCCCAGCGTGCTCTGGTCCACGGGGTTATGAAGAGTTAGACACGACTTTACAACTAAACAACAACATTTTATTTTAGGAGGAAGTCCTTATAAAGCAGCACACAATAAATCAAAACATAAACAGAATGCATCCAGGAAGCAGCACATTCCATCATAACAAGTAAGTTACAATAGCAGTAGCATTCTTAAACAAACAGTAATGCCTAATTCTTAAAGCAACTCATCTTTTTAAATCTATCTTGGGGGAAAGCAACCCTGAATGAGTTGTGGGTGGTTTATTTTCATCAATTTAAAAACTAGCAACAAGGAGGGTGTGCATATTTCAATGCAGAGTAAGTTCACAGTCTGAAGGCTAGCACTGAAAAATCCCAGTTCTTGTACCTCTCAGCCATCTTATAGCAAACCTACAACTAGGGCCTCTGAGGCAGATCTTAATGTTTATGTAACTTACTACAAATGCGGGTAGTCACCGAAATAAACTCATTCCCAACTATTTAGCTCTTTAAAAGTCAAAACTAAATGGATAGGCTCACAATTCGCGTATCTCTAATCTGATAAAGAAGCAATCTACTTTCAGAAATCTGAAACACAAACTTGGATCTTTTAAAGGCAGTACAATCCAGTGTCAAACAAGTTTAAACTCTTCATCCAAAACATTCCAAATCCAAGCCCACTCCAGGAGAACAGTCCTGAAAACTACTCTAGTGGTTACTAAAAACCACTGAAACATCAAAACTACACATTCTGTATCTAGCACGGAATCTAAGTTATCCATCTGGTTGACTAAAACAGTTCTCGTTCTACAACCAGACTGGAAGCCAGACTGGAATGGATTTTTTTTTAAAGTCATTATCCTCCAAGACGAGCTGGAGATGAAAGGCCTCTGCCCATAATAATATATTGCCCCCAAAAGACAGGATACAATTATCAAAAATCATCAGGTATTTTTTGCTTGTTTGTTCTATACTACTGTATATCTCAATGTGGCAACCTTCCTGATGCAATTGTCAAGTGCTAAACAAGCTGCCGGTTCCTACCCTAGCACAATTACATCTCAAAGATGTCTACAACAATTCCTCTGCCTACTTGTTCCATTTCAATTTTATTCCCAGTGTAACAGTAGAAATACTCTACCCGATACAGTCAAAGTGCAACTACAATATCTGCTTATTTACTTATATAGTAGACGAAGCAGTAGCACATCCAGTATTGGCTATTGATCATGTCATTTTCTCTTGCTTTGTTTCAAGTTGAGAGCAAGTCTAAAACAAGTCAGCAAGTGGTACAGTTTGAAATCAGCAAGTCAAACTGTCATCTGATTAATATACTCACTGAACTGAGATTTTCTCATCAGCATCAGCTATGAACATGCTGCCCACCTGTGGAAATAAACAGCATTGCACAACTTTAGAATCTACTTAGATCTCCCGCCAATAAGTTGGTTCAGACGCTAAAATACAGTGGTGCCCCGCACCACGATAATCCATTCCAGGAAAATCGCTGTTAAGCGAAAACATCATCCAGCAAAAACAGTTTCCCCACTGGAATGCATTGAAACCCATTTAATGCATTCCAATGGGGAAATTACCTCGTCATCCAGCGGAGACCGCCCATAGTGGAAGCCATTTTCTGAGTGCCGATCAGCTGTTAAAATAGCTGCCCTGCAAAGCATGGGTCCAGAAAACACAGGGCAGCCATTTTGCGGAGCCAGAAAACATCGTCGTCTTGCGAACAAATGGTTCGCGAAGCACGGACCTGATTGACGTCAAGCAAAAATCCCCCATAGAAAACATCATTTTGCGATCACTATAGTGATCGCAAAAAAGTCACCGTCCTGCGGATTTGTCGTACAGCAGGGTCATCATCTAGCAAGGTACCACTGTACTACATATTTTCTCTTGAGCTTCAACCTAAGCCTCTTATGCCATACACAGGAGTATCCTATGTCTCCTTTCACAGATTTGGACTGGGCTGTTCAAGTTGCAAGTACTGTCCATCAACACACACTCAGCTCTTACCATGTTGGTCAAAGCTGAGAAAAAACCACTTTGATGTTCTTCTTCCTTGTCTTTGTACTGCCTGGAAAAAAAAAAGAACAACAGATACAGCCACAAATTCTTCATTCTATTTGTTTCATTTATTTAAAATATTTTATCCCACCTTTCTGCTTTTAAAGGAATCTGTAGACAATAGGTGGTAGAAGTTCACATTCAAGGTCAATATACAGTGGTGCCTCCCATAGCGATCACTCTGCATAACGAAGAAATCGCTTTGCAACGCTGTTTTTGCGATTGCAAAAGCGATCGCTTTGCGATGGCCCGTGGGGAAAATTCACTTTGGGTTGATCGCTTCCCCACAATCATCACAAAGCCCCACCGATCAGCTGGCCGAAAATGGGGGCTTTGCGATGATCGCTTCCCTGCGATCATTGCAAAGCCTCCATTTTCGCACGGCTGATCGGCGGTTCCAAAATGGCGGCTGCTATTTTGCCTCGCTTTAGAGGCACCCAAAATGGCCAACGCTATGGAGGAATTTTGCTTAAGTTTAGTTTCTAAGCCCATAGGAACGTATTAAACGCGTTTTAATATGTTCCTATGGGCTTTTTTAAATCGCTTAGCGATTAAATCACTTAGTGACGTTTTTCCTGGAACGGATTAACGTCGCTAAGTGAGGCACCACTGTACAAGTAATTTTAGTGATCCCTTCAACAATTTCAAGACAACAGAAGGACTGCATTCTCCTTGTCCCTTTGAGCACATATGTCCATCCCTTGCCACTTGTCTTTGCAATCATGAAGCAGCACAGCAACACTTCTGTTCAGGATGGTTATTACCAACCACAACTGCCTTTTAATGATTTGAAACTAAAGTTAAAAGCACGTTAGCAAATCCTCATTAATGTTCATTATGTCATGTTTGTAATGCTTTAACATAGTTAAGACTGACCAGAGAATCATGATGGGAATTTACATAAACAAAGACAGAAAAGTCTGGGAGAAGAAAATGCACAATCTCAGAATCCACTGCCAACTCTTGTCAACTGGGCCAGTTTCTCAGAAGGACATTTAAATATATAAACACAGATGAAATCTCCAGACAGCAGTTAAGATTAGTGCATTAGATCAGATGGATAATGAGCAAACAAAATCTTTCACTAGTATAGTTTCCCCAAATAAGAAAGTCTTTAAAAATTTAAAGCATGCATATTCCTCTGCCTGGAATTGGTCTAATAAAAGATACTCTACCTACTCTTATTACCTCCTGTTTTTTGAAACCAATGCAACAACCTTCCCAGCTTCCAACACTCCAGTGATGTTTTGTTAAAGATACACATAAAAGAATCCTTATGTTACAAACAAATAAAAGGAGCTGCTTTTGCCCTGCTAAAAATCAGCTTCAACCCTTTACTCTGTATGGCTCTTAAATAAAGAAAATCATCAGCCATTTCCCTGGCAATGTCTATACACTCAAGAACTACAATACTGTACATCGGTGGTACAGGTAATGCATGAAAACTACTGGCTTCATAATACAGTGGTGCCTCGCTTAATGAGCGCACCGTAGAACGACAAAAGCGCATAGCGATTAGGTTTTAGCGATCGCAAATGTGATCGCATACCGATGGCCCCTATGGACAAAAATTGCTTTGCGAAGATCGGTAAGCGTTTCGCTTACCGATCTTCGCAAAGCGATGCCGCGGATCAGCTGTTTGGCGGCTCCAAAATGGCCGCCGGAAGCCCCAAAATGGCCACGCGCAGCGTTTTCGCGCCCTCCCCTCGCTTACCGAGGCCGCGAAAATGGCTGCCACAATAGAGCAACCTCGCTGAACGGTGAGTTTTGCAGCCTATTGGAACACATTAAACTAAGTTTAATGCGTTCCAATGGGCTTTTACGTTCCGTACAGAGATGTTTCGGCACAGCGAAGGTTAATCCGGAACGGATTAACCTCGCTATGCAAGGCACCACTGTATATCTAAGCCCAGCAACCTGGAACCTTTTGTGATTTAGAGATGGGAAGCTTTCTCTAGCTGTCTGGACTCCCTTTTGCAGGACTTTTCAAAATCTACATGCCTGTGGTGGGTGGATCCAAAGCTCTAAGATTATATGCACACACCATTCACAACTAGATCCACTCACACACATCTCCACTCACCCTATTTCCTGTCACCCCATGACAGACAGCACTGGCATTCACCCTCTCTTGGAATCAGCCTATCACAGCCTCAGATTGCTGTGAAAGGGGGCTAAACAGTAGAATGGCGCAGAAGAAGGGAAAGGTTGTTATTATTGGGGGAGAAAGAAGAAGAGAATGGGGAGTTGTGTGGTAGACTGTAAAGGAGAAGGAAGACACTGGGAAAGCTCGCAGAAAGCTCACAAGGCATAGAACTGTATAGAAAGTAAGGCTGAAATAAATGTTTATACATTATGTTAGTTTGGTGACAGTACTTAAGTCCAGTGAAACTAAATCAAACACATTCTAACTATTCTAGGATGTGCTGAACAGGGTGCCAAAAAGAAGGTACTTTATTTCATATGTGGTAGGGATGTAAGACTATAGAAAAATTTTGGCAACTGATTTTTAATGAAATAAATAAAATAAGTAAATTAATGTGCTGTATGTCCCAAAATAGCAATTTTATCTATATTTGAATAGGAAGAACATAATCAGACAAATATTTCCAACTTGTTAACAGCATCAAGATTGATTATAGCTAGAAACTAGAAAATAGGGTATAATTTTTAGTTATTGATTGGGGCAGGGAAGTTCCAGATAAAGCTACCTGTTTCCCTGAAAATAAGACCTAACCTGAAAATAAGCCCTGTATGATTTTTAGGATGCTCGTAGTATACCGTATTTTTCGCTCCATAAGACGCACCTTTCCATAAGACGCACCAAATTTTTAGGAGAAG